CGGTAGAAAAATGAACGAATTATTACTTATAAAATAATTGCGATTCGGTACATCTAGTGTCACCAACTACAATTTTCCAAAATCCGCCAGATTATAGGAAATGCTCTAAAAAATATATCACTAGATTCGACAAGCAAATTCGCTAGTTACTCTTGCAAATTTCAGATTTTTCTCCGCCAGTTTGACATTCAAATTCGCTAGGTTTAGCGGAAAAGTCGCCAACATGACACTCTGGGTGCTTGTATGTCAACCTCTCAGCTTAGACAACATGGCTCTGGGATATAAAGTGAACATGTATAATTTTCTCTTAAAAATGCGAAAAAAGTGTTCCGTAATGGACATTTGAGCACATTCACATACATTTAACTTAAAATCTGTTCTACTCAATATTATTACTTTGAATATTGTATCATTCCATCACTGTTATCATTGTCATTTCCATCAGAAGAAAATTAATGTGAGTTTAGATTTATGGCAATGAGCCACAATTGACCAGATCTTTGGTTTATTTCAAGGCTGATAAAGAATCAATAGATTTCGGGGAAGTTCAGGGTAGTTTAAAGATTTCAGGAACAGAATACTGTATGCATATTTATAAAGATGAAATAAGGGGATAGATTAAAGCCAAAGGAAGAGGTTCGCTCTGAGTGTTATCGAGTTATCATTTTCATCATCATCTTGATTACTACGATCATTGTTGTCGTCATCATCACAACCGTTATTATTATATCATTGTTATAATTTTTGTCATCAATCTTAATACTAATTTTCCCTTCTTTTATTATTTAAAATGGTTATCAGCATTACGACCATATTAACGTAGTGAAAAATTCTGACAAGTAGTCCAGCTTTGAATAATTTTGTCCTGTATTATGAAAACATTTTGACCCAGCAACAACCCACTGCACCTCTCCGTCGATAAAGAGCATAAGTGCATTGCATACTGCTATTTTCTCTTCAAAATCCTTACTAAATAGCGTCTCATTAATCGACATAATTCAGATTTTAATAAGGTCGCTTATATCAGTTGTACGAAAAAAACCTGGACGACGAAACTCGCGAACGTGTTAAGCGCACTTTAACGTAATTACCTTCGATAAATTGCCTCTTTGCTTTTATAAGGTCTTAGCTAAAAAAATCACGATGTTTGTTACCAGAAACCGTGTTTGTTAACGATAGCTATTCCATTATCCCAAGATCGACTTAGTTTTAGTAGTGCTAAAAAAAGAGGCAGAAAAAAGTGCAAACTAGTCTCCTTGAATAAGGGTTTCCATGAATTAGTTAAACAAATCTGTTCACAAAATGCTAACTCATTCTTCATGCTTTTGTAATATTCTGCCGCCCATTTTTTCTGCATAGAAAGTAATGCGCATGCCATGTTCAAATATGTAGTGTACACCAGGTAAATGTCCAATTTCTTCAATCTTTGTACATCGCCAAACATGTGATAAACATGCACTGATGCATAAAGCTGACACGCGCTATATGTATTTGTGTATATATATATTACATAAATATATGGTATATGTGTATGTGTCACACATACATACATGTATATATATGTATGTATGTATGTATATGTACGTATATATGTACGTATATACATACATATATATGTACATACACACCGATATATGCATATAAACACACACACACACACATATATATATATACATATATATGTATATATACTGTGTGTGGGGTATATATATACATACACACGCGCGCACACACACACACACACACACACACACACACACACACACACACACACACACACACACACACACACACACACACACACACACACACACACACACACACACATACACACACACACACACACACACACACACACACACACATATATATATATATATATATATATATATATATACATATATATATATATATGTATATATATATGTTTGTGTGAATATGTAGGCATGTATGTATGTACGTGTGTCTGCATATTTGTAAGTAATCACGACATATTTCTTTCTAAATCATATATTATACACATTATGTTCGTGCTTGTGTGTACATATATGTGTGTGCGCACATATATATGTATATACATACATATCCAGATATATGTGTGCGCACATATATATATATGTATATACATACATATCCATGTATGTGTATGCATGTATGTATGTATGAATGTGTATGCATGTATGTATGTATGTATGTGTATGCACAATTGTAAGTAATCACAACAAACCTTTTTTTCTAAATCATATATTAAACACATTATATTCCTTTCAGTGTTACTACTCGCGTCTCTTGCCCTATGGACTTCTCTGCTTACCCGTTTGATAACCAAGTTTGTTACTTCAAAATGGAAAGTTGTAAGTATTCATTACAGTCCTGTTTGCGATGACGATTAAAGATCAAAGTAAAAAAAAAACACTAATAATGACAGTGCCCAACATAAATAGGAACATTAACAGCATTACACTTACTAGTGTAAACATTTACAACGACTGCTTTTACATTGAAATGTTTGTCTAACTCTTAACATGAATCTGTTAACGACTATTATGCTTCAGATCAATTTACGGCCAAGCAAGTGTCCTACAACTGGTTCGACCCTAAGATTGGTCGTTCGCCTCAAATACAGTTGGGTCAATTTGACTTCGATTTCTACAGTGTCCAACAGCAGAATACTTCACACCAGAACCGTGAGAGAACATAGTAAACGTTTTGCTCAGTGATGCATTTACGAATGGCTTTTTATTCCGTCTCTTTGCGTTGATGTGTATATGAATCTTTAAGGTTGTAATATCCATTGGCTTTGAAGTGTTACTGGTGAATTTTAGATTGATAAGATTTTATTCTTAAAAAGACGAACATTCTGTTACCTTAATGATTATACTACTTTAGTCACCAAGCAATTCTTAAGGAGAGAGAAAAGGAGAGAAACAAATGGAAAGAGAGAGAGAGAGAAAGAGAGAGAGAGAGAGAGAGAGAGAAAGAGAAAGAGAAAGAGAAAGAGAGAGAGAGAGAGAGAGAGAGTATATCCATGAAAAAAACAAAGAATAAATACAGCATCGTGCCGATAACCTCAACAACATCATCACTTTCCATCGTCCTCTTTTGACCCATATCCTCACCACCACCATCACTGCTTTCATCACCATTATCCAACACCATACCTCTACTCTCTTTCACTAGGTTCCTACCCAACAGTCATGATCGAACTAGTACTGCGACGCCGGATTGTGTACCATCTCATGAACACCTTCCTTCCCTCGGGTTTGTTTGTTATGGTGTCCTGGCTAACACTCCTCGTCCCTCATCACCAAATGCCTGCTCGAATGGTGTTGACAATCACGACACTTCTTACCCTGGTCTCCATGTTTGCTGGCGTGAGGTACTGTACACTTTTGATTGTTTTTCATTTATGGGCTTAGCATCATACAAGTGCAAGATTCCTTTGAGTGTGTTACATCTCAATAACGTTAATTTGATTAAATATTCATTTTCCTTTAACACGCTACTTTAGAGTGTAGAATTATGATTTTACTTTTGGAGAACTCTGAATAAGATCTTGGGAATTTATTTGAAAACATTTATCTAAGAAATTAGCTTGTAAGATTAAATATACAGTTCTTGAGTGATGACTTGCTAAAATATTATCTAATGCTATTAATACTTACTAATATTACAAATACTGTCTCTTCTAATAATAATGATGAAAAAGCTAATAACGACAATAACATTTCTAATAATGATGGAAGCAATATTAACATTAAATAAGATACCAACAACAGCAATACCAACAACAAAAATAAGGATTATGACAACAATGACAACAGCTATAATAATGGCAATATAAATGAGGAGGGGGTAATACTACTACCACTAATACTGATAATGATAATGGAGAATGATAACATATAGGGCAAGGGTAATAATATAATAACCATAGTAATGATAATAATACTGTTGCCGTTACTGAGGCCGATGACGATAACAAAAGCTACGATAAGGATGATATGAATAATCATATCAATAAAGCACTAATAGTAATATTAAGACTAGTAACTGCGGTGTATCGACGAATTGCATCCGTGGCTAGGAGTGCCGCTCTATTGACTCCCTTCCCTTTACGCTAGTAAGGCACACGAGTCTGTACCTAAAATATCCCCTCCTGTACAGAACCCCTTGAGGTGTGGTAGTGTGGTATCTCCTTAATGTTAGCGTAATTCATTTAAAGTAAACACTGAACTAAAAACATATAAAGATACTAGATATAAAAACCAGGAAAACAATAAAGAAATACAAAAAGGGCCCTAAAGTTATTTCAAACAGCAATTTCAAAATGAAGTGCTAAGCTAAAGGATTCATTAACTGCAGTAAAAAAGGTCCTAAATGATCATCACGGAAAAGGCCTTTAAATAATATAAAGTATCTAAAACATGGCGACATAGAAACACTGAAGGTGCATCTCGAAGGAAAGTAAAAATGGCAAAACCTAAAAGAAAGCAAAAACACCGAAAAATAAGAGCAAGCACAAGAATAAAATCAAGCACAGCCAAGTCCTAAGGGAACAGTAAATAAAAGTATAAATAAATAAAAGTAAAACCAAGGAAATAAAAGAGCTAGGCATCACTAAATGTACACGTGTTCTTATAAGAATAGAGATCACATCCAGCGTCTGGTAAAATAAAAATATCAGGCTCTCAAGACTTAACTTTTCTTTGTGTTCTCGGGTCAAAAAGAGGGACAATAATACGCATTGACTACCACAGACTGGCCGTATTTGGCGGTAAACAGGTTCATATCTATCTATCTATCTATCAATGACGTCATCAGCCACATAAAATTATAATATTAAATAAAATCAGATTGCAGTTTTAAATTATCAGGAGGGATGTCATATAAATTAGGAGAAGAAAAAAGAAAATAAAAATAATTCAGGTGACAATAAACACGACATTTGAAAAGATGTACCTTCATTCCATGATGAGTCAACAAGCAAACTTATGATAAAAAGGTAAAAAAAAAAGAAATAGCTCAAAACAGTGAATAAGAATTCAATAAAATAACCAATAAGAACTCGTAAAAGACAACAGACACAGTAAAAACGATAGTATATGTAAAGGAACAAAGAGAACGAATATCAGGCAGACTAAAACAAAAGCACAAAACGAACCAAAGACACAAAACTCACGTAAAGAAAAAATAAACGACAATGAGATAAAACCGCGAATGAACGAAGACGCGACTTTGAGCGACAAATACACGGGATATTGCAGGATGCTCGTGGGGAGGGTTGCAGAATGAGAGGGTTCCTTACATAACAATAGTGGTGATGGCGGTAGGAAAACCATTAACAATGATACCCCTAATAATGACTACGTATTTATTATTAATGTGAATATCACAAAATACCATTATTATCCCAGTTTTTTTTGCTATAGTATTCATTACAAACATTGTATAATAATAATGTTGACATTATCATTCTTGAAAAATAATATCAACAACCAGGAAAACGATAACAACAAAACACAAAATAACAACAAAACTCCTACAGACAGGAGACGCCGAAAGTGTCCTACGCAAAGGCCGTCGACCAGTGGATGATCATGTGTGTTATCTTCGTGTTCTGTGTCCTCTTCGAGTTCACTGTGGTCATATTCCTCCACGAAAGGGGCAAAAGGACGTCGAAATCGTCTGCCACTCCGCAGTTAGTCCAAGAGCGTCGAAATCTATACAATCCTACGAATCGTGGGAGGAATACTGCGACTTCCTTCACCAACCACGCTTCCTTCTTCCTGAGACACAAAAACGCAACGATCACGCCAGCTGAGTCGGACTCTGGAGACCGGCCGCAGGGAGAGGGTCAGGAGGTGTGTGTGGATTGCTGTTTATTTACCTAAGAGGGTGTTTAGCTAACGGATTTTTTTTGCAAAGGGAGGAATTTGTGTAAATTTAACTGTTTATTATTATTATTATTATTATTATTATCATTATTATTATTTATTTATTTATTTATTTATTATTTTTCTTTTTTGAAAGGGAGAAATTCGGGCAAAGGGAAAAACTTCTTGGAGAGGAATTGGAGGTGACATTCGGCCACAAGAGTTTACGGGGAGGAAATTTGGATTATTTTTATGGGAAGAGTTGTTTTGTCCAAAGAGGAACCCTGGTCATAGGGAAGACATTAGGAAGAAAGTATGTTTTGTTATGAGATTATACTTTGATGATTTATTATTTAATAATATTTCTTTTTATGCAGTGATACTTGCGAAGGTTAACTTCATTATGGCCTTCAGTATGGCCTAGTCATCCGTTCAGAGTACAAGTCGTTTGTGAATGAAATTTCAGTCATTAATACTTTCACTCATGATTATATAATGATTTCAGATATACCGTTTGCTTCTTGGACAGAGTTCGCTGTTGCATATGTAGAAAAAAATGTAAATAAGATGAATAGCTCTTCTGTGTAAAAACTGTATTCGATGCGTTTCGCTTAAATCGACATTAGAAATATATGTATCGTCAATATTACACACACACACACACACACACACACACACACACACACACACACACACACACACACACACACACACACACACACACACATATACACACACACGCATATCAGACATGAACTGAAGCTTTACCTGACATCGGTGACCAGTTGCTGTTACCTGCATAACCATTATTGCCGCAACTTTGGACACATTCATATTCTCGTTCGTCGTGATGGATGCAGCTCCCATTATCTTTCTTTGAGTATTTATAAATCCTTTTTAAATCCCATTATGCGTTGACCCCTTTATTCCGCTTTCCATTTTCGTCGAGTAATCATGTCCTTTCATTTACCATTAGATGTTTAGATCATAATCCTATTTTACACGTCCATTCAAGACGATCTGGAAGTTCTGTAATCGCAAAGAAAAAGAGAGGATGGCTTTTGCCTGCTGGAAGTGTAATGACTGTGTATATTACATTCAAATAATTATGATTCACATTAACTAATCAGACATAAAGAACATATTAACGTATGTAGAAGCGCTTACACATACACTCATATATCTGATAGCTATATATCTATAGCTGTAGATGTCGCAGTGCAGACCCATCATAGGAATAATCTACTATTTACTGCATTTTCTTTTCAGGGAGCGAAGCCTGAAGCCCAAAAGACTGACATGAACGTATGGACACTGTGGGGAACCCGAGTAGAAGCCTGGAGCCCTGTTGCCTTCCCCATCGCTTTTATCATCTTCAATATTTACTACTGGACGAAATGGCTTAGCTTGAGAAAGTAGATGCTTCTCTGTGTGGATTGTTAGTTGTCATTTCCGCTGCTGACTAGTCTTGCTGATGGTACCATGCCTTTCCCAATGTTTTTTGTCATGTATTGTTTAGTACAATATAACAGTGTGTGATGAAGTAACGATAAGTAAGAAGTACCAGCGCAGGATCAAACCGTATAACCAGAAGTCGACTCATGATAAAATCAAACAAAAATGA